TTTACTTAGGATGCTGTCCTTCTCCAGGGACTGGTCTCTCCTGACAACATGTCCAAAGTACATGAGACAAGTCTTGCCATTCTTGCCTCTAAGGATCATTCTGGCTGTATTTCCAAGACAGATTTGGGTGTTCTTTTGGTAGTCCATGGTACTTTCAATATTCTTTGCCAACACCATAATTTAAACACATCAGTTCTTTGTGCTTTACTCAATGTCCAACTTTCACATGCATGTGAGGCCATTGAAAATACCCAGGGTTGGGTCGGGTGCGCCTTAGTCCTCAAAGTAACCGCCTTGCTTTTTGTCAATTTGAAGAGGTCTTGTGCAGCAGATTTATTCAATGTAGTATGTCACTTTTGATTGCTGCTTCCATGTGTTGATTGTAGATTGAAGCAAGACTAAATCCATGACAACTTCAACTTCTCTGTACTTATCACGATGTTGCCTATTGGTGCAGTTTTGAGGATTTTTGTTTTCTTTACATTGAGTTATAATCTGTATTGAAGGCTGCAATCCTTGATCTTCATCATCCAGTGCTTCAAGTCCTCTTCACTTTCAATAAGCAAGGGTGTATTCTCTGCGTATTATCTGCATTTAACACTGATGTCACATTCTTCCTAGTATAATCCAGCTTCCCTAATTATTTGCTCAGAAAACAGATTAAATAAACATGGAAAGAGAATACACATATCTTTTCTGATTTAAAGCCATGCCGCATCCACGTACAAGTTCCAAATGAGCACAATGACATGTTGTCTTCCAGAGTTCCTGGCATAGACAAGTGAGTGCTTCACCAGCTTGTTGAACATTTCAGTTGGTATTTGAGCAATTCCTGGAGCCCTGTTTTTGGCTAATGCTTTCAGTGCAGCTTGAACCTTTTCCTTGAGTAACATTGATTCTTGCACATATGCTACCTCCTGAAGTGGTGGAATGTCAACTGGTTCATTTTGGTTCAGTGACTGTATTCTTTCCATCTTCTTTTGATGGTTCCTGCATAATTCAATATTTTACCCGTAGACTCTTTCAATATTGCAACTCTAGCTTTATTTTTTTCAAGTTAAGATACGCTGAGTGTGTTCTTCCTTTTTTGGCTTTCTAACTCTACATCTTTGGACGTATCATTACAATGTTTTACTTTGTCTTCTCAAGCGGTCTTTTGACAGTTTCTGTTCACTCTTCGACTTCACCGTTTCTTCCATGTGTCTTTTACTCTAAGATTAAGAACAAGTTTCATAATCTCTTCTGACATCCACTTTTATTTTTTATTTTTTTCCAGTCTTTCCAATGACCCTTTGTTTTCTTCATGAATGTTGTTCTTGATGTTATCCCACAGCCCATCGGGTTGTCTGCCACTATGTACGATGTTCTCGAAATTCAGGTGGGATTGACTCTCTTTTATTTGGGAGAGACTCATGTTGTATTTTGGCTCTCATGGACTTGTTTCCATTTTTTTCAACGTAAACCTGGACTTACATAAGAGCAATTGGTGGTCTGTTCCACAGTCAGCTCCTGGACTAGGTTTAGCTGCTGGCATTGAGCATCTCCAGTCCCACAGATGTAGTCAGTTTTACTTCTGTGTATTCCATCTGGAGAATCTATGTGTGTAGGTGAAAAAAGGTATTTGCTATGAGCAAGTCATTAATCTTACAAAATCCTATCATGAGCTCTGTCACCTTGTTTCTGTCACCAAGGCCATATTTTCCAACTACTGTTCCTTTTGTTTTGTTTCCAACCTTTGCATTTTAATTGCCAATAATTATCATTGCATCTAGATTGCATGTTTGATCAATTTCAGACTCAAGACTTTGGCAGAATTCTTCAATTTCTTCATTCCTAGCTTTCAGTAGTTGATGCATAAAACTGAAGAGTAGTTTTATTGATGGGATATTGCCCTCTCACAGACAGCTTTGTACTTCAAGGTAGATCTTGAAACGTCCTTTTGAAGATGAATGCAAAGCCGTTCTTCTTGATGGTCTCATTCCCAGCACAGTGAAGGCCGGGACTAGTGCATTTCAGGTCACCAATGCCTATGGTCTCATTCTTCATATGTTCCAGTTCAGTGTTGATGACTTCCGGTTTTCCTATTCGTCCTTTGTGCATTCGAAGTGCCAATCATGAGTTTGTGTTCTCAGCTGTACCCCAACAACAAATGCAGGCTTGGAAGGCTTGACTCCCGCAGGCCTGAGGCTCTTCATGTCGTTATGGTCAACCCTACTTTGGGAAGGCAGCCCTTCCTCAGTCATATTTCGGGTGCTTTCTGACCTCAGGGGCTCATCTCCTGGCACTGTCTCTGACAATGTTTGGCTTCTGTTCATTAGGTCCTTGGTGTCCGAGAGTTTTGATGCTATCCATAGGTTCTCAAGGCTGAGAAATGGGCTCAGAAATGGACAGCCCATTCCTTCTTCATAGCCTATCCCACTCTGAAAGTTCTGCTGAAACCTGTTCACCTTTGGCCACCTTGCTGACATTTGAGAGACCAGTGACATACCATATATACTCAAGTATAAGCCGGCCCGAATAGCAGCCGAGGCACCTAATTTTATCACAAAAACTGCATTAAAAATGTGCTGAAAACCCCAGCTTATACATGAGTATATACGGTAGCCTCCAGCTTCCAAGCAATACACAAACCACGATGACAAGCTGGCAGGCAGGTGGTGGAGTCTTTTGGTTAGCACCCTGCAATCACTGCTTAACAACGGCAGCACCTCGACTCCTCTTGGCAATGTAATTCCGATACCACACCAGTCACTCGTTTCAGTGCTCCAGTCGTTGTTTTTCCTTTTCCTTCCTTGTAGCTCATAAGAGCTTTAGACGCAAGAGTAGCATTAGATTCTGGATAAAACACCGTTGTTTACTTAATTTGAAAATGCCTTTAATGAGTAATTGGTTTTACCACATCTACTATACTACATTGGCTCTTCCACTTGCTTTTTCACATGTACCACAAGCATGACTAATGTAAACTAAACTTGAAGCGGTACCATTTTGAATAAGGAAAACTACGACTTGCCAACATTGATTACATAAATGCAGCGTATTCATTTCCAGTGTTGTTGTGAGTTGCTGTTGGGTTGATTCTGACTCACAGTGACCCTGAGGATACAGAACCAGACTGTCCAGAGGGCTTGCAAGGCTGGGAGCGTTTGAAAGCAAAACCCCGGGACTGTCTTCCAAAGTGCCTCTGAGTGGATTTGAACTGCTAACATTTCAGCTAAAGCCTTGTGCGTAATTGCACTGGTACATATTCCATATTAACTTTAAATGTATTCAACTCAGTAAAAATAAAGTAAGTCAACAAAAAAATTGAATTTGTATTAGTTTCATGTTACTTAATGTGTGACATGCAACATGTCGTTGTTGTGAGACATTCGAGTTGGTTCCAATTCACAGTGACTATTTGCACAATAGAACAAGCGCAGAATCATTGCGAGGTTTGGTCACACTGCTGCAGCCACTGTGTCCATCCAGAGAAATACTTGCTGTCCATTGAACCTACATATTCCCAATGGATGCAATAGTCAGGAATAATCGAGTCTAAGAGATGAAGCATTTCTGCCCTGGATTCAGATGTGACCAATGTATTTTATATTGTTGCTATCTTGTGGAATTTTTGGTATTCAGAAGCACATCTACTTATAGTATTGGGGAAGAGAAGCTATAATCACCATTTTTTAAGATTGCCTTCTCTCTGTTAATTTCATTATTTCTGTTTTTTATTCAAATTGGTACTTTAATCAAAATGATACTCCTTATGTCATTAAATAAAGAATATTTCTGAGTAAATGTGATCATTAAGGCTTATTGTGTCAACCTGGCCAATGAACACAGGTGGGATTCATTGAAGGGCAGAGAAATAGATAGCTGGGCGAGCCTCGCCTTTCTGGTCTCTTGTTCTTTGATAGTCAGACCAGTGTGCAGCTGCCTTAGCCAGTTCTCTGCCTCAGCTCGCAAGACATCTCAGCTTCCTGCAAGACATCTCTGAGGAGAAGCCACATGGACCTACCCTGATGCAGCCCTGGGTGCTGGAGCAGCCGCATGGAGACCCTGCCATCTCTGAGATGCTTACATGTTCACTGATTCCGCTTTCCTCCTGCATTCGGGGTCATTGCATGTGTTTTGTGAGTTTGAGGAGGACTTCGTGGATGAATGTCGGACATATGGGCTAATGTCAGAGTTATGGGCTTAGATTGGACTGGGTTGGGATGCTTAATGTACAATTACCCTTTATGTAAAACTCTCATAAAATATGAGTGTCTATGAATTTTGTTTCTCTAGTCTACTCAGACTAACAATGAATTTGAAATCTATAAGGGTCTGGACTTAACACATAACGTGCGACTTGTGGACACTTAAGTCTAAATAAGCCCTAATGTCTTCTCCTTGTAGATAATGAATATTGGCGTGTAATTTAGGACTAGAACCCGTAGAACTATGTACATTAGTTTGTTTGTTTTAAAGCTGTACTGCTTAGAACTCTCTTAGAATGAAGATGAGCCTGTAGAACACAATTCTTCTGAGGGGAACTATGAGGGGGCTTCAAAAAATTCATGGGAAAAAAGGGAATTACAAAAGAGTGCATTTTTTCTACAGGCTTTTTGAAGGCCTTTCATGTTTTTTAAATATCCTGAGAAAATATCGTCAAGGTGCTCAGTTCTTCTCTGTTTCATCGCTCCTATGGTTTACATCTTTAAAAAACAAATCAACCTAGTGTGCTTCTACATGTTCGATCAGGTGATGCTGTGCACTGTGCTTTGCAGATAATTTCTCTGTTTTAGCCACGAAGCTTTTAGCTGTAATTTTTGTGCATGCGAGGGAAAGGTGATTGAGTAATGACAATCAGCCATGTGTTGAAACAGGAGAAGGCTAAATAAGACACACACACACACACACACACACACACACACAGCCTTGGAACTGTCGTCATTCTGACACTGCTTCATTCCATTTGTTTGTTTGTGTTTCGGAACGGCACTGATTTCCGTTCTCATTCTTTACAGGCTGGGGAGTGAGGACACTCATTTTGAGGTGAGCATGGCCAATGGTGGGTGTGAAGTACACCGTTTTGACCCCAGTGTCAGATCAGCTCACGTTCTGGAGAGCCAGCGCCTGTGGCACCACCGACTGTCCATCGACTGGCGAGACCCCCACCCAGCTGTTGCTGCCCAAAAACCCCACAGCAGCACCAGAAAGCTGGGGACCATCTTGAATGACTTCGGGCATCACAAGGTGAGTTTCTCCTTTTGGCTCAGTCATTCAGAAAAATAAACCTATGGGCTGCCTACTGTTCATGTTTTAAAAACTCAAACCAAAGATAAGAACATAGAATCATCAAAGGCCCACTTTTAACCTTAAATCATCGGTTCCCACACTTATTTGGCCCACTGCACCCACTTTTCAGGAAAAAAAAATACTTGGCACTCCTTTGGCAATTAAAGATGTTTGTATTAGATCCCTAATCCAGGATAAAGTGTAGGTATGTGCTTTGGAGGCCCACCTTGATGTTCATCGTTTCAGTAACCCCCACCCCTACCCCAAGGAGCAGTTTTGTCCACTTTGAGAAACACCAGCTCAAATGATTCCCATCATTATCTATGGAATCAACACTGTAACCTTGATGTTTTGGCAATGATAGAGATAATATTTTAAATGACCTGAAGATTTTAGTTGTTGCTGAGTGGTGATAAGGTCTTGGTCAAGACCAGACAAGAAGACTAAGAAACTTGGTTTGTCTGGGCCTCAGGGATATCATTTTCATATGGCAATCAATTCAAAATTCCAAGAGTGTAAACCATATGTTGATCTCAAATATAAAATATACTCAGAGCCAGGTTTGCTTGCGTTTGATGAGAGATTACTTGTATATTGTGCTTCTCACTGTTGTGACAATTTTGAGCCTCTTGGCTCTTAGAGTTCGGGAAATCTGTGTCGCTTTGATTAGATGTACTTTGTACAATTGAATGGACATGATGCTCGCTGCATTCTGTATAAATCTGTTAGAGAATATCAAGCCACTGTAAATACTGTATTGTGAGTGAACAGCAAAAGAGAAGCATCGTTCTTGAAAGCAGTGTTAAGTGTCATTGTTGCCGTTTGGTGCCATACAGTCAGTTCGAGTCATCGAGGCCCTACGTACAACAAAGTGAAACATTGCCCGGTCCTGCACGGTAGAGTAGACCTGAGCAGATTATGTCCTATGGCATCCGATGGAGCCTTTCTCCTGAGTGTGGTTCGTGTGGGTTAGATGGCCAATCTCTTCTTGGACTTGGTCTATGGTTTCCAGCCAGAGCTGCCGTGCAATTTAGAACGCATTTACAGACTGTGTTTCTGTCCCAAAACTGTGTGCGTGGGACTCACTCCTACACTTGAATTGGCTCTTGCTCTTCAGTAAAATGGTTTTCCCCATACCCTCTCTTTTAACATGTGATTAACTGTTGGGTAGCGTGTTGCTTTGCCACCAAGAGGAGTTGGGCTTTCAGTCTGTAGGTGGAGCCTTGGTGGGTTAGCGGGTTGCACTACAGCCTGCTAACCAGAAGGTCAACAGTTCAAACCCACCAGCCACTCCATGGGAGAAAGACAGGGCTTTCTACTCCATAAAGAGTTATGGTCTTGGAAACCCACGATGACAGTCAATTTGATTTGGTTTTGGGAGCCTTGATGAAAGGAGCCCCCTGGTAGTGCAGTCGCTGAGGTTGGCAGTTTGAACCCCCTCTGGGCAGAGGGTGACAATCTGCTCTTGTAGAGATTACTCATGGCGGGCGGGGAGTGGGGTGTGTGTGTGCAGTTCTGCTTTGTCACAGGGGTCCCTAGGGTCAGGAATGCGTTTCATGACACACGCTAACACCATAGAGAGGACATATAAGTATGTATCTTTTGCAGGACAAGGACATATCTATAACCAGAACCCCTTTTTCCGCAGTGCTATTAATTTTAAAAATATGTGTGGGAAGAAGTAGGGAACATTTTTCACAACTTGATATATTTTTTTTCTGACACGTATTACCGTCAGAAACCTGGTTTTTACAGCTGAAAATTACAGGCTTGATTCTCTAATATGTCAACTCTCGATTAGTCAAAGAGCTAACTACTGATTCTTTGTGTGCACTTAGGAGTCTCGCTGCTCCCCCTTCCTGCGTTTTACATCCTGTTCCCCTCCACCTCCCACTCAGCACAGCAAAGACCGAGGAGAGGGAGAGCGAAGGAGTGAAAATCAAAGCCAGTTTGCCTTCTTTCCATCATATTTTAGCAAAAGATCTGGTAAGGGTGAAGATAAAATAAGAATGTAAGAATGTGGGTGCTGGTGATATAATTGAGCTAAGCCACGTCTCCTATGGGAAATGATTTGAGATAGTGGGGTGCGTGCCTGAACTGTATTTGTTCAGCTCCGTGGGGTCTGTGCGTCAAACCTTCATCTTGAGTGTGAAGAACAATGCCTCCTTATCCGCTGCTCCAGAGAGAAAGGCGTGTTTACAGCGGTCCCTAAAAAGGAGCGCCCTCCCAAAGGGTTGCTTAAATGTCCAAGGCCACTCGTTTTCATTGCAGACCTTCATCATGAAAGTGCTCTGGTTCAGAATCGCCAGGTGTGCATCTATGTAATCACCACTTAAAACAATAAAGAGATCCCTGTGGAAGAACTTGCAAGGTCCTGCTATTTGTTATTTGCTTGTGGAAATGTCTTTGGTGAATGGCTTCAACCCGAACAAAAACCTAGGCCCGTCAGTGAGTGCGTGCCTCCATTAGGAAAATGCTTCTGGGAGCTGGGCTGCTGGCCAGAGAAAAAGGCAGCCTTGTCTGTGACCAGATGCAAACACTGTTTGTATTTTCTGCATCTGTAATGATGCTGGCAAATCGGACTTTGCTCTGGCAGCGAGCACAAACAGAAAGAAAAACCCTACCTAACCCAACTCGATAAAATGTCCATCCCTTTTGCCTTGCCTATTTCACTCCTTGACAATAGAAACCCAAGTTTTGGGGGGCTGCTTTGTTCAGTTTTGTTTCCTTCGGGACTGTCGGGGAGCTTGTTCTGTGATGCTCCCAGGTGAGGCTGTTTTTCTTTCCCCTGTCCGTCACCCATCCCTGCCTTCCAGTCTCTCAGCAATGCTCGTGCAAATGAGAGGCAGGATCCTGCGATTCTCACAGCGAGATGCGCATGGTGCTTGCCGCGCTTCTAAAGATGCACTGGTCATTTTAACTTCAGACTATAAATCAGAAAGCCTTAGCGCAGCTGCATCAGCAGAAGCGCGTGAACCAGAACCTCCACCTGTCAGGGAATAATAATCACCTGGGTCCAGCGTGTGATTTGTGAAATGATTAACTAGCTGCTGGGGGCTCACGTGGTTGTTGCTGGAACTAAGCGTAAGAGTTGTCCCCAGAATGTCACTTAGAAATATTGAATGTGCCTCTTGGCTCAGCTTAGTCTCAATGTATGCTCCCCACGCCACCCCACCAGTGTACACCCTCTAATGGTCTTTATTCCACACACCCAGCGTACCATAAATGATCCAGGCAGGGTTAATGGGAACTTTTCTCTCTCTCTCCGACCCCAATCCTTTTGTTAAGAATCTTAATAATCAGAATAACAGAACTGCCTTGGGGTGGGTCTCTGCAAACTCTTTACTCCAGGTTTAAGTCCTGGGTTCTCTTGTAAGGGACAGCATTTCTCCTCAGTGGCATTCAGTGTGATCATTGATGGAATGGGCCAGTACATCCGGCCTCGAAGGTTGTTTGAGAATGAGATCAGAAAGCACCTCCAGGAAGATGCTTGACAGCGATCAGCCCCTCCAGTGCTTTCAGTGAATTTGAAGAGTTCTTAGCACACAATTTTAGTAAAACCTTACTAAATTTATAGAAAGCATTCTACTCTTCTTTTGTAGGGAAAGCATTTTAGAGATTTCTCTGGAAATCCCTACCTGCTGTTCTTCCCAGACAAGAGCTTTTTTTTTTACTCATTACTGATTTTATTTTATTTTATTTTATTTTTATTAAATCATTTATTGGGGGCTCATACAACTCTTATCACAATCCATACATATATCCATTGTGTCAAGCACATTTGTGCATTTGTTGCCCTCATTATTCTGAAAACATTTGCTTTCTACTTGAACCCTTGGTATCAGCTCCTCATTTTGTCCCCTCCCTCCCCGCCTTCCCCACCCGCCCCATGAACCCTTGATAATTTATAAATTATTATTATTTTGTCATGCCTTACACTATCCGACATCTCCCTCCACCCACTTTTCTGTTGTCCATCCCCCAGGGAGAGGGTTATATGTAGATCCTTGTAATCGGTTCCCCCTTTCTACTCCACTTTCCCTCTACCCTCCCAGTATCCTCAGTCTCACCACTGGGCCTGAGGGGTTCATCCGTCCTGGATTCCCTGTGTTTCCAGTTCTTATATATACCAGTGTACATCCCCTGGTCTAGCAGGATTTGTAAGGTAGAATTGGGATCACTGGGGGCGGGGGGTGGGGGTGGTGGAGAAAGCATTTAAGAACTAGAGGAAAGTTGTATGTTTCATCATTGCTGCCCTGAACCCTGACTGGCTCATCTCCTCCCTGTGACTCTTCTGTAAGGGGATGTCCAGTTGTCTACGGATGGGCTTTGGGTCCCCACTCTGCACTCCCCCTCATTCTCAACAATATGATTTTCTTTTCTTTGTTGCCTGATACCTGATCCCTTCAACACCTTGTGATCAGACAGGTGTACTTCTTCCATGTGGGCTTTGTTGCTTCTGAGCTAGATGGCAGCTTGTTTACCTTCAAGCCTTTACGATGCCAGACACTATATTTTTGATAACCGGGCACCATCAGCTTTCTTCACCACATTTGCTTATGCACCTGCTTTGTCTTCAGCAATCATGTCGGGAAGGTGAGCATCATGGAATGCTAGTTTAATAGAATGAACTGTTCTTGGATTGAGGGAGTACTTGAGTAGAGGCCCAATGTTCATCTGCGACCTTAATACTAAATCTATAAATATATGCACATAGATCTATTTCCCCATCATTATATATAAATATATTTACATATGTACATGCCTGTATTTAGACCTCTATAAATGCCCTTTGCCTCCCAGCTCTTTCCTCTATTTCCTTTGACTTTCCCACTATCATGTTCAGCCTTCACTTGGGTTTCAGTAATTCCTCTTGGTTACATTGCCCTTGATCAAACTCTAATAGGCCTCTCAGTCAAGAGCTTTTAAGCAAAGCTTTTTCTGAAACTGAAGGGCAG